GGATTTGGTTTCGTAACTCTAGCCATTTTCAGGGGATCTCATGCCCTCTTCTGACCTCTCTGAACACCAGGCACACATGTGATGCATATGTTTACACACGTACGTATACTCAGACACAAACTATTTTTTTTTAAGACAAGTCCTCAAGAGAAGAGCCTTGAAGAGTTAAAAAGTCAACTTCTCTTCCCTGAGTTCCTGAGAAGCCTTGATTGGAAGCAGAGCTTTTTACTCTGGGCGGCATCTGCCGTGTGAGGCTTGCTGGTTTTCTTGTATGGTGGTTTGGTCTGGATTTTGAGACAGGGTTTCTCTGCAGCAGCTCTGGTTGCTCTGAAACTCTTTGTAGAGTAGGCTGGCCTTGAACTCAGAGATCCACCTGCCTCTGCCTGGGATTAAATGTGTGCAGCTTCCCTCTCTTAACTGCCCTTTGAAATAGGCATGATTTCCATTTATAGATGAAAATGAGAGCCGAGAGAGGTGCGAATGAGAGCAGGTGAGGGAGTGTCATGGTCAGGACTGGAACCCAGGACTTCTGGAGTGACGCGCTCCTCCTACCTTACACAGAGGAGCAAGTGCTCAGTCTATTGCAAGAGGCTGCGCCTGCTCCCCACATCGCTGCCTTCTGCTACCCCCACCCCTAATGCTCCAGTGTTCACTCTTTTTGAGGCAGGGTCTTGCGTGTGACCCAGGCTGGCCTCCCTGCATTCCTCCCGCCTCTGCCTCCCAAGAGTTTGGGTGGCAGGCATGTGCCACCACACCCAGCTTCAGCAGTTCCCTCCTTGAAAAAGGAGTTCCTGCCTTCCAGACTTCCAACAGGGCCAGAATTGAGCGGTTTTGGCCCTTTCTGTGTCTTTGAGCTGCCTGAAAGGGCTGGGCCCACCACTGGTAGTGTACTTTGAAGGACAGAAGAAAAGTTTTGTATGCCTTAAACAAAACGCAACAGAACAAAGCCTTTGGTGCCGGCCTGCACCCCAGCCTTGGTTGACACACAGCATGGAAAAGAACTGCTTTGTTGCCTGGCAGTAATGACAGCAAACAAATGTGTCTGACAGTCTGGCATCTCCTGGTCTCGGTTCTATTTGCCTTGTTTTAATTGCTTCCTTAGCTCCCTTTAGCTTCCCCACCTTCGGTACCACCCTCACCCAAGGGAACACCAGGCTGTGCCAGGTTGTGCTGGGCTGGGCTGGGCCAGCCCTATGGAATACAGTGGCCCAGCCAGGCTATTCTTGTCTGTGTCTATTTGCAAGAAGCCTGTTGTTCTCCCTGTCTGTTTTTCTCATCATAAATGTTGGGTTGGCAGGGTCCCCAGGGTGGTGGAAGCCACAGTGGAAGAGCGTCCAGACTTCCGCCTCAGAAAATGCAGCTGGCTCAGTGAGTGCCAGGCTGGGGAGACAGTGGCAGATTCTGCTTCTTAGAGCGGCCCTGAAGACGTATTCCCACCACAACAGCCCTGCTGGGTCCAGCACCCTTGGCAGGGCCTGGACTTCTGCCAGCATACTCTTACCAAACAGGCCTGGAGGATCTGTCCTGGCATACCTGTGAGCCACCTTTGAGCCCAGGGAGATTGTTTTCTTTGCCTTGCATCCTACCTCACAGCCCCTGCTCTCTAGGAATTTTAATCTGTGTCAGGCTCCTAGTAGTTACTTCTGGGCAATGCCCTGTAGCAGATGGGCGTTCCCAGTGCAGCGCTCTTTTGGCAAAATGCTTGAGCCTAAGTTTACTGTACATATTCATGGGTGCCATGATTGCACTGCTATCAAGTGTATATGGGGGGAACTCTTTCTATGGGGCCTGGAGAGATGGCTCAGCGGTTGCTCGTCAGAGGTCCTGAGTTCAATTCCCAGCACCCTCGTGGCAGTGAGCACACTATCCAATTCTTTCTTCTGGTGTGCAGATAAATCACCCATGTACCTCAGATGCATAAGTGCATAAGTAGAGCCTTTTCTTTCTTTTTTTTTTTGTTGTTTTTTAGTTTTTTTGCTTTTGTTTTTTTCGAGACAGGGTTTCTCTGTGTAACAGCCCTGGCTGTCCAGGAACAAGTTCTGTAGACCAGGCTGGCCTCGAACTCCGAGCTAACCTGCCTCTGCCTCCTGAGGGCTGGGATTAAAGGTGTATGCTACCACCACCCAGCAACATGGATGAACTAGAGGCTGGAGAGATGGCCCCATGGCTAAGAGCTTTTGCTGCTCTTACAGAGGACCTGGGTTCAGTTCCCAGCACCCACATCAGACAGCTCACAACCGTCTATAACTCTAGCTCCAGGAGGTCCACACTCTCTTTCCTGTCCTCTGGGCATCAATTACATACATTTCATAAATAAAATATACCCTAAGAATTTGTTTTAAATAATTCTGAGTAAAAGAGGCCAAACAAAAAAATCTTACACGATGTATGAGTGACAGAAAGCATTGACTTCCTGCAGAGCCATTATTGAGAAAGGGATGCAGAGGAGAGACTCAAGGAAATCCTGAGGCACGATGTATAGTCTGTGATCTGTCCTTTGTGTCTGTCTCAGTATTGTCACCCTGGCTAACCTGGGACACTCTTAGGTAGACCAGGTTAACCTCAACTAACAGAAATTGAGGCAGGGTGTGGTGCCATGTGTCTTTAACTCTAGAATTCTACAATCCTAGAGAAAATGCACATCTGCCCATAATCAGACTGTTTACAGACAGATGCCAAGTGATGTTCTGAGATCATAGAGTATATCCGCTTTTGGTAACTGGTTGTTTGAGAAGAAAGGGAGGTGAGATGGTGGGGTTAACACCAATGAGTTTCATATAAAAATGTAATGTGTGGTGCATGTTTTTAGTCCCAGGCAGAGGTGGGCCATCCCCGTATATATAGTGAGTTCCAGGTCAGCCAGGGACTGGCCTCACTATGTGTATGAGGGTTGTGGTGTGTGTGTGTGTGTGTGTGTGTGTGTGTGTGTGTGTGTGTGTGTGTGTGTGAGAGAGAGAGAGAGAGAGAGAGAGAGAGAGAGAGAGAGAGAGATCCTGGCTCAAAAAAAAAAACTGGATTTCTGAAATGCTACTTATAAATCAATGCCACCAGGCTGGTGATTATCCTTCATCTTGGTTGTGGTGATCGCTTCACAGGCATATAAATATCAGAACACATGAATTCATGCACCCCAATAGTATTAGAGGCAGTTCACTGGAATAGTATTTAATATCTGCTGACTGGACTGGATGTAATGGCTCATACCCATGATCCTATCAGCTCTGGAGGCTGAAGTAGGATTACTGGGAGTTCAAGGCCAGCCTGGCCTACATCGTGAGACTCTTCAAAATAAAATCAGCAATCATGGGAACTGGAGAGGTGGCTCAGTGGTTAAGAGCACTGACTGTTCTTCCTGATTCAGGGTTCAATTCCCAGCGTCCGCATGGCAGCTCACATGGAGAACAGTTTGTAACTCCAGTTCCAGGGGACCTGACACCCATGGCACAACACCAATGCACATAAAATAAAAATAAATAAATCAGCAATCACTATGTGCCAGATTCACACGCTGTTCTGGGGGTTCAGAGAGACTTGAAGATGTGGGTCGTGCCCTCTGAAACTCACAGCATAGTTGAAACTAAATCAGATGCAGAGAAGGCAGAAAGCACGTGAACTAGGAAGCCCGAGCACAGGTGTTGGTGGCGCGTCTTCCTGAGCGGGTCAGAGAACCAGTTGGGCTGGACTGTTTGTGTCTAGGCTGTCACCAGGACCTCCGTGTTCAGTATTTGAGGCCACAATACCCAGAGCAGCGTCGCTGTGCCTGGGAGGTCTTTGGCGATGTTTCAGGAGACTTGGTTCGGGTGTGGGCAGCAGCTGGGGAGCATCTGCTTGCTCCTTGAGCTGCACCTGGGCGGGAAGGCGTCCAGCTATCCAGCTGTTCCAATGGCCGCTTCACCACAGGAATGCTGCCTTTCTCTATGGCCAAAGACACCAACTTCCAAAGACCCGTACTTTGACAAAATGACTGTCTCAGGCACAGTGAGCTGAACCCTGCTGGCTCTTCTCGTCATCTGTCAACTAGGTGCCCCAGATTTCTTCAGAGTTCCTTGTTTCCTTGTCCGTTTTTATGCTTTTTTTCCAGGCTGACTAGGAAGTTAAATTCGGATACAATTGTCATACCACATTAAAAATGCAAGCAGCAATACAGAACATGGCTGGCTCATGTCAGCCAGACAGCTCAGTGAAACTAGAGATGGGAAACACGGGCAAGGCTTGTGCTAATGAAAGTAGATGCCGGATTGCATGGCAAGCTCTGGCTCCTTTCTGCCCCATCCCTGGTCACTCTACCACTAGACATCCAGAGGGCAGACCCAGCTAGAGGTTGAAATGCTGCGACTTCTGCAGGGTGAGCATCTGAGACCTAGAGACCAAGCCACTTCCACACCAGAACTGGAGCCCTAGACTCCTGCTCAGGTCCCGAATCGCTGTGGCAGGTGGAAATGACCAGCCCCAGGTGCGTGATGAGAACAGTTCTTGTGCCTGACTCTGAGTAAGAAGAGGGCAGACTGTTGCCCCCAGCTTTCTATGCCAAGCTGCTGTGTGAAGCGATGGCTGACACAGATGGCTGACATCAACTCAAACTGGGAATGGTGGTGTGGATTAATCCTCTCAGTGAATTTGCTGTCAGGCAGTGTCAAGAACAGAGGGGTATTTAGTTACCCAGAGTTCTGCTGTTGTTAAATAAAGATCATGTTTCTCAATGTGCCCCATGGTAGCGCTGGTATTCGAGGCTGCACCACCATGCCAACCTGGGTGCTTAACCTGTACCCTGGTCCCTCATCTCACCTGAGCTGGTAAATTAGCCCCCATGCGGGCTGGCTTGATCTCTGTTGAACTGTTTGTTCTGCCTTCACCTTCTCCCCTATTCCCTCTGCCAACTAGACTCTGCACTCTGCCAATTCCCTTTTGCAGGGAAGGTCAGCCTTGTGATTGGGGTTTTTTTCCCAGATGGGCATAGGAGACTTGGATGTCTAACAATTGATTGTTTTCTTGTGTTTCAGTCGTTCCAGGGAAGTCAAGGACGAGCATACCTCTTTAACTCAGTGTGAGTGTCTCTGAATGGAGCATCTGCTTATTGGGTGAAATCCTTGAGGGGCGGGGAAAGTACTCCTCAGTGATTGGGCCATGATCTCTGCCTTCTCAATATTAATAAGACTCCTAGGGCATTGGCTAGTAGTCAGTGTCTGTCAGGTACCTTAGGTGAAATTTTGTTGTCCGCCCTCCAACTATAAAGTACTCACTGCAGTGCCCAGCACTGGGTCTTCCCACAAGGAAAACACTGGGGCTTCTGTCGAATCTTCAGCACAGAGGTCAGCCAGACCTGAGATTCATGATTGGAGGAGAGAGGAGGGGAGACTAGAACCTGTGGAAGGCTTCATCCCTTCTGCTGAGGATGTCTACAAAGCCCATTGTCAACCATGGACACACGAGTCATAGCCTCTGACTGGAATAGGAAGGCAAAGCTCACAGACACTTGTAGCACAGCATGAAACAGGTGTCTTGTGAAGGAGCCGAGCTTGTTTGGTAGTCTAGCCTCTCCCCCCGCCCCTCCGCCCTTATGCTAAGACTATAAAACACATGGGCTTGCTTACCAGCTTAGGCATCATCAACTTTTTAGTTTTTTGAGACAGGGTTTCTCTGTAGCTTTGGAACCTGTCCTGGAACTAGGTCTTGTAGACCAGGGTAGCCTTGAACTCACAGAGATCCGCCTGCCTCTGCCCCCAAGTGCTGGGATTAAAGGTGTGCGCCACCACTGCTCAGCCCTCTGGAACAGCCTTCTGGAACCTTTTAAGGAGCTGTCTCAGGGCTGTGAACCTTACTGTACAGTTGCCAGATTAGGGGAGAAGAGCTGACTGGGTAGGTGAAGGCAATGCTGCCCAAAAGCCTGACGGCATGAGTCAGATCCCTGAAAATCTGTATTGTAGATGAGAACCCACTCCCGAAGTTGTCCTGGCCTCCACATGCAACTTAGCATACATGTGTCCCCCCAACAAATTAATGTTATACAGTTTTTCCTTTGGTTACAAGATTATAAATCTGTGTCAGAAAAATTTAATCCCTAAGCAAACTGTCATCCAAGGCTGTTTTGGTAAGCTTGCAGAATTTAATCTTGCAGATCTAGTATTTATTCCCTCTGAGATATTTCCACATGGCTACCTTTGAGGAGATGTTTTCATTTCCGCTCTAGACCACTTTCTTCTCAGTGCTGGCTTCCCTGGGAGCAGTCTTGTCTAGTCAGTTTTTGCCAGAAGCTCAGTTTGAATGACGAATGGTTGTTTACCCATGACTAACTGCCCGCTCTCTTTCTGTCTTTGGCGTAGAGTTAATGTGGGCTGTGGGCCTGCAGAAGAGCGGGTGTTGCTAACAGGCCTCCATGCGGTTGCAGACATCTACTGTGAAAACTGCAAAACCACTTTGGGCTGGAAATACGTAAGTACAAAACGGGCCTGGGTGGAAGGGGACTGAAGTGGTAGATAGCAAAGGGCCTCCTTTCTGAGGGCTGTTTTCTTCCACAGGCTTCCCTCAGGCCTTGACAAGTAGCTGACTCCTCTAAGCTCAGTCCTTCACCTGTTCTGGAAACACCCTTGTTGGTGCGCATGTATACAATTATAACAGGACTTAGTAGCATCTGACTGGGCACCGTGTGTGGGGATGTGTTATGTAACAACAGCAGTAAGATGTCTCAGCAGAGTGCTTGCCCACAAGCATGAGGACTTGAGTTCTGATCCCCAGCACTCATGGAAAAAAATAAGTTGGGTGCAGTAACATGTTTGTAATCCCAGAGCTCGGTAGTTATAAACAGGAGAGAGAGTACTTGGGTCTTGCTGGCCAGCTAATCTAGCCAATTGGTGAGCTTCAGGTTCAGTGGGAGACTGTCTCAACAAAGCAACTGAGGAAGACACGTGCCATTAACCTGTGGCTAACACTCACAGCCAGGCATAAAGGAAAAAAATTATAGGCAAATGCTTCCACAGCCTCCCTCTGAGCATTGGAATGAGGTTCAAACCCGGCTCTGTCTCTTAGGTGACTTTATGGCCTCCTTCTCTGCTTTTTAAGTGCTAATGAATACAGTACCCCCTGGGCATGGTAGGTGGTGGCAGAAGGATCTTAGCCAGCCTTGCTGAGGAACTAATGGAAGCTCTAAAAGTATTGACGTTTATTGTGGGGAAATAAGTTATGAGCAATGGGACCGTGGAGGCAGTGGTGTTAGGTCTTGCCAAGGACCAGACTGGCCTGCAACTTGGGTCCTTTCTTCAGCCTGCCACGAGCTAGAATTACAAGCATGGACCACCTTGCGGTCCCAGTCGTGATGCTGATCATCTAGGGACACAATTATTCTGCTTTCCCTCTGTCTTGTGACTACATTCTCCTGCTTCCCCTCTTGCTCCTCACTTCATAGAACAGTTCTCTGGTCAGCAAGATAACTAAAGCCCAGGGGTTCTGAAACACTGACAGGGTTTGGTTTCCTACTGACGGCTGAGACTCAGGCAGAAGAGACAATTGTCCACTGCCCTATGCCTCAGATTCCCTGAGTTTCGGCTCCAGGGACCAATGTTCTCAGTCCTTTATCCTTCACCTGGGCAAGATGGCTTTCTGTGGGGCTCACTGTGGAGCAGGGATGGGATGGGGTGGGGACAGGCTCTGTACTGGGGTTAATGTAGCTTCCGTCATCACCTTGGAGCACAGCGGGGAAAGAGGCACACACTTGGTTCATCTAATATGGAAACAACAAGAAAAGGAAACAGGACCAGGCTGGCCTCATACTACTTGTTTCTCTTGCCATCCAAGCCGAACAAGTACATTTTATGATTATAACCAAGGCTGGAGAGATGGCTCAGTGGTTAGGAGCTGCTTTTACAGATCCCAGATGATAGCTCACCACTGCTTGTAACTCCAGCAAAATACCAATGCACATACAATAAAAATATCATTTTTGAACCTTCATTTAAAAAAAGATTATAACCGGGCTTCCCTGTGTTCCTAGAAACTAGTGGAAATAATACAGAAACTTTAGATACATCTGTAGGACAGACCTCTAGTAAGCTTCAGAAATCTGGGTTATCTAAGGAGCTTACGAGTGTGAGTATGTGCGTGTGTGTGTGTGTGTGTGTGTGTGTGTGTGTGTGTGTGTTTGTGTGCATGCGCGTGTGAGGTTGCGACAGGGAATACTACCTGGCCTGGAACTCACAGAGAACCGACCTGCCTCTGCTGCCCAAGAGCTGGGATTGCAGGCTTTGTTTTTTTAGGTTTTGAGACAGGATTTGTCTATTACATCGTTCTGACTGTCCTAAAACTTGATATATAGGCCAGGCTGGCCTCAAACTCCAAAGATCCACCTGCCTCTGCCTCCCTTGTGCTGGGATCAGAGATGTGCACAGTCTTGCCAATCCTGGTTTTATCTTTTACGATCTTCACATGAAGCCAACTCTAGTCTTCCCTGCCTTCCACGTGAAGGCAACTCCTTGTCCTCAACTCAGCTTCCAAATTGACTTTCAGATTCAACAGCTGCACTTCATCGATTCACGTTAGCCTGTTAGCTGGCTTTTAATCTTCTAGTGATATAGCAGTGCAGAAACATGAACATCTCAGGGCTGGAGAGGTGGCTCAGAGGTTGAGAACACTGGTTGCTCTTCCAGAGGTCCTGAGTTCAATTCCCAGCACCCACATGGTGGTCCACAACTGTCTATAATGAGATCTGGTGTCCTGGTATACAGGCGTACATGCAGGTAGAACACTGTATACAAAACAAATAAATAAAATCTTTAAAAAACAATCATGAACATCTCTGCTTTCCTTAACATTTGCATAACAGTCAATAGAAACTGAACGGGAATGTTGTGTGCTTTGGGAAATATGGATTACTGTGGATAGAAATAAGGGAAGAAGCTGGGAAGGTGGTGGCACAGCAGGCAAAGGCACGACAGGTGAAAGAACTTACCAAGATGGTGGCATTGAAGCAGAGGTTTAAGAGAAGAGCCAAAGAAATACTGAGGCAGCCCAGGTGTTCCCTCCGTCGTGCTGTTAAGTGCAGGAACTCAGAATGCGTGTGTGCTAGCATCTTCAGTAGACCTGACTTTTGCTGTCCTGGTGCCTCTCACCAGCAACATCCCTGCTTCTGTGCCTCAGAAGCCTTCTTCTGTTTGCCTTTGATGACTCAGTGTTCTTTCTCTTCCTCTGTTTTATAGGAACATGCTTTTGAAAGCAGTCAGAAATATAAAGAAGGCAAATACATCATTGAACTAGCACACATGATCAAGGACAATGGCTGGGACTGACCCGACAGCGTCCGTCTGCTCCAGCATCCACACGAATGCCATCCAATTGAACATTCTACCCAACCGTGAGAGAGTGACTGAACACTTGGTTCCATCCATTTAGGGGCCTTGCCATCAGGGGGCATACTCCTACCCTGACGCCATCTTTTTCGGTGACTGGCCTCTGAATTGCTGTCTCTCTGTCTCTTTGCTTTGTATCTGTTTGTGAGTTGATCTTGGCTTCTCTGTTCCAGTGTTGGCTGAAAACAAAATGACAAACAGAACAGATCCTTGGCTGTGTGGGGCCGTGTGGTGGCGTCCACCTTGAACAGGGCCCCCAGCCCATATGAGAGCTGCCCAATGGCCTCTTCAGAGTAGTGGCACCTGGGCACGGGGAAGAGCAAAGATGAACCTGAGAGTCCTGGGGTTGGGGAAGGGGCAGGAGGGTAGAGGTAGAACAAAGCTGTGCTACTCTTGGGGACCTGGCTTGAAATAATTGACTCTTTCTAAAGGACAAAGAGAAAAAATACCTCATGGCTATGTTCTCTCTGACAACAGACTTCTGTCCTAACATCAAATGTTGCCAGGATAGCACATTAACACAAGAAATGGCCCTGATTCTTGCTGACAGGGCAAGACCCTGGCATTCTGGGCCGTGGAATGTCCTTCTAGTGTGGGTGGGGGGTAGGTTAAGCCCAAATGGGTTTTAGTGACTCTGATGCCTCCCGCCCCCACCCCACCTGTGGGCAATCACCTTCTTGGTTTCCTTCACTGTCGCAGGCGAAGGGAGAGATGCAAGATGCAAATATTCCATTTAGCCAGCAGCACCCTGAAATCCATAGTGGAGGAAAGCCAGGGAGCACGGGTCGCAGCCTGGGAACTCCTGATAACAAGCAGGAAAAATAAAAATTGGTAACTAGTCAGCAGTTCTATGGGAACAGTGCAATGAGAGAGGTTCTGGGAGGAACAGTTTAGGTTTGAGCCAGTCCGGGCTCAGTACATCTTTCCTCGGTGTGCAGTAGCTTCCATGGGATTAGCAACTCTTTGTGCATAGTGTTTCTGGTTTGCTTTTTTTCTCCAGTTCCATCATAACCTAGGAAGCAAAATAGACCTGAATGTCTTATGTGGGGAGAGTAATCTTTTGACAGTGTGGTCCTGCCGTGGGGAGGAATCATAGGTTCACTATTGCCCCCTCACCCATCACCCCACCCAAGGTTTGCATTAGCGATGGGGGAAAATTCCCTGTAAGTCTCCAGAGACGATAAGGAACTTACTGCTTTGAATCAACACTGAATGTTTTACAGCAGTTCAGCTATTATGTGGCACATGGCTGAAACTCATTTGAATTAATTTCATTTCTTAGGCAGAAAATAATGTTAAAATACACACATAGTAGATAATTCTCAACACATTGTTCTCCAACTAGGCTGGACCTACAGGAAAAGTCACTTCTTAAAAAAAGGCTAATAAAAGAGTTCATGGGAATAAGAATCTGTAAAACTGGCTAACTCAGACTAAAGCAGCCGACCCGGGGCATTTTCCAAATCTCATCTTCAACAGAACTAAATTCCCAGCAGGAGAGCTGTGGTTCCCTGGCTTTGTCCCCTGTGTCCTGATCTGGGAATGAAAGAACTGAGACTTGGCCCTGCCCTGTTCTGCTGGTGGTGACGGCCAGGTGGCAGAGAGCTGGTCAGCTCTGTTTAATAGCAGATGCTCATCTTGTGGGACCCAAGGATTCCTAGAAACAGGATTTCGTTCAAGTCTCCTTGGAACATTAGCTCCACCTCCCATCCCCCACCACCACCACCCTGGACTGCAGGATGGACTGAGCCCCAGAAGGACTAAGTTTTGCTTCCTGAAAACCACTCGGTGGCTCCCAGGCTCAAGTTCTCAGCGACACACATTTTCCCACTTTCACATTCCTAAACTGTCTTGCTGGCTCCAGAGTCACTCGTTGTTGCGTCCACCCCCCAATCCTGCCCGAGGGAAGTGGCCTTCATTTAAGGATTTGATTACACACACCCTTTGCTCAGGGAATATCCCAGCTCTACTACAAGTTCTTTTCCTTCTTTTTTTAATGGAGGGTGGGAGTTAAACCTAGGTGGATGGTTTTTCTCTAAAACTAAAATTAGTGAGGCGTAGAACTTGGATATGTGATGCCCTGCATTCTCAGGGGTCAGAGAAGGAGACCAGTGTCCACTGTTTTTCCTAGGTGGGGTCCTTGATCATCTTGGACCAGAGCAAGCTCCAGTAGAAGCCTCGTTCTGGATTTTTCTTGAACTGCTATCTGTTGAGCATCGGGTGGGTGTCTGGCACTATACTTGGTGCCGAAGAGGAGTAGTAGCATGTCGGTTTTTCCATAGCTACTTTGGGGGTGGGACCAAAACCCATTAGGATTCTCTTTGTGGCAGTGACACCAGAAGTGCTTCTTATGCCCTTCGCTCCATCTGTGGCTTGTCTGCCTAACACATAGCAGTACGACCCTCTCCTCTCCATCCGTGGCTTGTCTGCCTAACACTTAGCTAAGCTGAGCAAGGGAGACAAGTGTGCTCCAAGCCTCGGTCAGTTCCTTTTTTTTCCTCACCAAATTATTGACTCAGCATAACCAAAGACCTCATCCATTCACCCCACATAGGTTCAGGGAATTGGAGTTAATTGGGTGACCTTGGGCAGGGGTGGGTGAACAGAGAAGAGAGAAAGGGAAGGGCCTTCTGTACCTCAGCCGCCAGCTGCCTTCGTTTTGAACTGAAGACCAGCTGACCAGCTCTCATTCCATCTCCCCGTGCCACTGAAAGGTAATAGGGCCGTGGCCACCGTGGGGTACATTCACCCCCTCCCCCATATTTCCCTAGGCTGCTAATGGGTGAATCAACATGAGTCAAGGGTAGCCAAGCTTGATGCCCGCAGGCTCTCAGCTGGGCCTGGCTGAGTACCGCCCCAGCACCTAGACAGATCATGTAGATAAAGTGAATCTTTGCTAGTAGATCAATGTGTACTAAAGCGGTGTCCCCTTTATAATAAGGTTTTCAAGTCTCTTGTGAAATATACTTTTGTAAATAATATTTAATTTTTTTAAATAATATATTTGGTGCTGTATTCTCAGATCCCTGGGAGCACGTTTGTTTTCAGTTCTATGACTTCCTCTGTGTTTCTTGAAGTACATTTTAAGGGAAAGAGTAATCACCAAGATTTTTTTTTTAAGATTTGTCACTTTAACTTGGATTGAGGCTTTAAAACTTTTTTTTGCATTTTTGTGTTTGCGTTTTCCCCAGTGGAACAGACTGTAGTAAATTACCAGGTTGTGAACTGATACTTTCTTACCCTGTCTTGGCTAGAAAAGAAACAAGTTTCAGTAGTAACAACTTGGAAGTAATTGCTGTAGTTGGGAGAACTTCTGAGAAATTGGAATCGTGTGTGTGTGTGTGTGTGTGTGTGTGTGTGTGTGTGTGTGTGTGTG